ATCACCTGCCCGGTAATTAAATTTAGCTGCCCTCCCTGAGTGCTGGGATGAGGTGAGCACCAACTGTGGTGGCCACTGGTATTCAAAATGTGGGGGTTTCTTAAATTCTCGACTTCTGGTTCTTGTTTTCATGTAAAAATGAGTTAATGCTTATTTTCGGTGACCCCCATCTCCACGACGTACTTCTGGTAGTAACCTGTGAGTTAAACCTGCTTTGTGCACCTGGACTTTGGAGATCTTCGTGTTGCGGCTTGGAGTGAGCTGCTTCCCCAGGGAATAACTCTCCTGTGGGTTTTGTGGGGTGTTGTAAATGGTTTCTGGAACATCCGTGGCATATGGCAGCATATGGCCCTGCAGCCATCCCCGTGCCTGTGTGCTCTCCTTGTGCTGTGTCAGGAGCTCTGTCAGGTCTCTGGAAACTCGTCAGGGAGGGATGTGGCCTCGATTCTCCTGGGTACTTGCAGAGGGCTGGGGATACTTGGGTTTTTTCCAAGTTAAGGCTCCAGTTTGTGATGGATTTGTCTTGGGGGGAAAGGGAGGATGGGCTGATGGAAGCTTCCTGCCAGGGAAGGGGCTGGGCTGGGAGAGCTGGGGGTGTTCAGCCTGGGGAACAGAAGGCTCTGGAGAGATCCTTGCAGGGCCTGAAGGGATTCCAGGAGAGCTGGAGAGGGACTGGGGACAAGGCATGGAGGGACAGGACCCAGGGAATGGCTCCCACTGCCAGAGGGCAGGGATGGGTGGGAGATTGGGAACTGGAAATGTTTTATGGGAAGGTAGTAAGGCTCTAACACAGGTTTCCCAGAGAAGATCCCTGGAAGTGCCCAAGGCCAGGTTGGACAGGGCTTGGAGCACCCTGGGCTTGTGGAAGGCGTCCCTGCCATGGCAGGAGATGAGCTGACCTTTCCCTTCCAGCCCAAACCAGTCTGGGATCCATGATCCCATGTCTGCTCAAATATGTTTAGCTGAGCTCCTGACCAATTTAAAAGCTTTGGAGCAGCCTCTGGTTCAGCTGTTTGGTTAATCTCTGAGTTTGGCATCAGAACAGGACCTTTGGGATCTGTGGGAATTTGGTGGTCTTGCAGGATGAGACTGCCCTGAGTATCCAAAACCCGGTGGGGAAGCTGGGAGGTGCTAGGTGGGGTTGGTGTTGGGGAGGAAGTGAGAGGAGAACAGGAGGAGAGGGTGGGACAGAGGGTGAAGCAGTCCAGGCTGTCTCCAGCTGGGATATTATCCCAATTCCACTTTCCCAGTCATTGGCTGCCTGGGGGAGCTCTGTGCTCTGCACTGCCATCCCTCCTGTTCCCAGAGGGCTGAGCACAGAGCCTGGCACAGCTGCCTCCCTGTGTGCCCAGTGCCTGCTCATTCCAGGGCACAGGAGTGCCAGGGAGGGGGCTGCTTCCCTTTGTGCCTGCTCATTCCAGGGCACAGGAGTGCCAGGGAGGGGGCTGCTTCCCTTTGTGCCTGCTCATTCCAGGGCACAGGAGTGCCAGGGAGGGGGCTGCTTCCCTTTGTGCCTGCTCATTCCAGGGCACAGGAGTGCCAGGGAGGGGGCTGCCTCCCTGTGTGCCTGCTCATTCCAGGGCACAGGAGTGCCAGGGAGGGGGCTGCTTCCCTTTGTGCCTGCTCATTCCAGGGCACAGGAGTGCCAGGGATGGGCTGCTGCAGTGAGGCTCTGCCTGGCCCGATGGAGAGGGCAGGAGCTCTCTGTGAGCAGGGATGTTTCCCCAAAGGCTCTCCCGGTTGGGATGGACCCACAGCACCCTAAATCTTTTCAGGAGAGGCTGGCTGTCGTCTGGCTGATTGGAGCTGCTAATGGATTGCTGCTTTAATTGCCCTAGCAGTGTGACAGAGCATTCCTTAGGGATGGAGGGTGAGCAATCCGGAGCTGTGGATTTATGGCACTTGGGGAAAAATTATTTGCAAGCTCAGTAAGTCTTTATTTTTCAGCTGTAACAGCTAAAGGTTGATTATTCCTTCAGTGAGCACAAAGGCTGGATGTTGTAGTGTCCAGGAAGAGGATTCTTGTCACCTCCTCCTCCCTAAAATGCTGGGGCATCCCCATTCAGCAGGAATATTGTGTCACCCTTTCCACCCTGGCACATCATCCAGCAGCCTCATGTGCAAGACCAGTCAGTGAGCAGGAGAATAAAAATGAGCAGAGCCACTGTTCTGTACGCTTTACCCTTCCCCCTGGTCTTTTTGGGATTGCTTCAAACCTCCACGTTTTTAGCTAAGCTGAATTACAGTTTATGAGAGAGGGAGAAAATAAATAATAAATTGCACAAAAAATGAATTCACAGGAGCTCAAAGTATAAAGGCTGTGAAGTAAGCAGCGAGTCTTTCATTGCCTTGAATAATGTAATTATCTGGAAAAGCCTGTTTCTTTTAAATTGCCAAATCTGGTGTCACTTGAACTCACTGAAGCCCCACTTGACAAAGTTCCTCTGTTTCCCAGAGGGTTGTGGGACTGGGGTTAGGTAAGGGTGGGATTGATTATTGGTCCTCAAATGTTAGGTGTGAAACTGTGGGTGCAGGTGATAGCCCCAGATGACCAGGCTGCTGCTGGTCGTTTGATAATAATAAATACAATAATAAATAAAGAAGTTAAAGGGTCTTTTTAGAGAATCCCAGAATCACCAAGGTTGGAAAAGCCCTCCAAGATCGAGTCCCAGCTGTGCCCAAACCCTCTCCTTGTCCCCAGCCCAGAGCACGGAGTGCCACATCCAGTCCTTCCCTGGACACCTCCAGGGATGGAGATTCCTTGGGCAGCCCCTGCCAGTGTCTGACCACTTTTTCCATTAAAACATTCTCCCTTCAGGAACATCCTGATGTACAAAAAAAAGATGGGAAATGGCTTTCCTCTCTCCTTTCCTCTCATTCCCTATTGCAGTTTCAGCAAGTAGGAGCTGTCAGAGCAGAACTCACTGCACTTGGTGCTGAGCAGACAGCAGTATTTGTGTTGGATTGTTGGGCAATATTCTGTCAATATTCCACAATATTTCTGGCAATAAACCTGATCTCCAATCAAACATTTCAAACAGAACCCAAAATTTCAATACGAGTTTGGCTCCTTTTCTGCCCCTCTTGCTGCTTTTTGCGGAATGCTGCCCGATTTTCAGTGTGATGCTGCAGCTCAGCACCCTGTGAGTCACAGTCCTGGGGCTGCATCCTCCAGATAAGGGCACTGGATGTTGGGAATGACTTGGGAGAGCCGGGATCATGCGGCTGTGATTGTACCAATCCCTGGCACTTGGCACACGGGCACGGCTCAGCCTGGCACGGAGAGCAGCCGGGGGTGGCCTGGCAGCATCAGCTGCTCTGCCTGAGGCTGCTTTGTTCTGACAGCAGCAAGTAAGTCACTGTTCAGCACGCACCAGTGCAAACCAGCATGGGCACTGCGTGTCCAGCACGGGGATTGGGTTCCCTCACTGAGGTTAAATTCCCTCGCTGAGCTGGGCTGGATCACATCAGACCTGAGTGAGTAAAAAACCAGCGGTGCCCCAGCCCCGGTGTGACACAGCCAGGGCAGTGCCCGTCCCTGTGCTGGGGACAGCTCTGGGCACAGCAGGAATTTCCCCATGGAAAGGGGGCTCAGGCACTGAGAGGGGTCTGCGGGAGGCCTGGCCAGGCGCTGTGGCTGCCGAGTTTCTGCTCTTGCTCCATCCTGGAGGAAGCAGAAGGAAGAGCAGGATGTGCAGCTTTCCAGCTGGGAAGAGCTGAGCTGCTGCCAGCTCCTAATGCCACTGTTCAGCCTGGGGATGCTGCACTTGTTCCAGCTCAGGACCCTGAACTCTGCATCTTCCCAGCCCTTCCAGCTTTCCCTGGGTGCAAGGTGTCCTGGAAGGAATTTTCTGCTGTGTTTGAAATCACGGCTGTGGGTGAAACTCCTGTTGGCAAAGCCTGTTCTTGGCCTGGAGAAAATCTGCCTTTCCCCAGATGAGTATGGAACAAGGAAAGAGCACAGGCTCATCAGTGGTTCTGAGCCAGCAGAATCCTGAGGGATGTGGATCCACAGGGATGGATGTGGATCCACTGGGATGGATATGGATTCCCAGGGATGGATGTGGATTCACAGGGATGGACATGGGTTCACAGGGATGGATGTGGATCCACAGGGATGGACGTGGATCCACAGCAGTAGACAGGGATCCACAGCAATATTTAAGAATATGTGCCTTTACATGGACAGTAAGAATATTGACTGCTACAGTGCCTGTGCTGCAGGATATAAATCAATGTAAGAAAAAAAAAAAAGGATATAATTCTCTGAGTGGCTCTGTTGGAACACAGAGAGCCACAGATTGATCAGGAGTAAATACTCTCTGTTTTGCAAGGTTAAAGCTCTGTTTTTCCACTGGCCCCACGCACTGGCCCCAGTGGGATGCTGGAGTCAGGCTGGTCTCTATAAAGAGAGGAGCCACTCCACACTTCAGGGCTTGCCAGGTATCCTGAAAAATGTCCAAAAAATGGCAGAAATCCAACTGTGGCAGCACCTTCTTTCCCCATTGCAGGCTGATGCTCCCTGCTGCTGCCTGAACATGCTGCTTTAGTGTCATATCAATACAGAGCTGTTGAGCAGCTTTAATAATGTCATTTTTGCCACTTTTCCCCCCTGGAAGCCCGGAAGAAAGCTCTGTGTGAATGAGAACAAAGCCCTTACACAACAGAGCATTTTCATGGGGAGGGATGATTCAAGCCAAGCTTTGTAATTCCTTAATTATATTTGATGTGACCTAACCCTTGACAATCCTGAGTCTGAGGCTGTCAAACAGGATATGAATATTGTAAAGACTTTTGGACAGTGCCCAGAGCTGAGCTGGATTTTACTGTGTCAGTAAGAAAGTGAAGGAGAGAGGTTTTCTCAGCATTTTTGTCTTTGTAAAACTCACTCCAAAAAATACGAAGGAACCAGTTACTTTTAAAGTATTTTTTAAATTTGACTGGGGAGGGGGTTTCTGTTCCTTACCTGTGTTTTCTTGGTGACCTGGCTTTCCTTTCAGGGCTCAGCAGATTCGTACACGAGCAGACCCTCAGACTCTGATGTCTCTTTGGAAGAGGACAGGGAAGCAATCCGCCAGGAAAGGGAGCAGCAAGCAGCCATCCAGCTGGAGAGGGCCAAGGTGGGTTCTTCCCTCTAATTCATGGGCCAGCTGGTGGAATTCACACTTTCTTTTGAAATACTTTGGCAGTCCAGTCAAAGTATCTGCAGAGAAGGTGTTAGGGGAATTTACTGTAAATATTCTCCTCTAAATGGGGATATTCTCCAGGGAGCTGAGCTCTGCTGGCCTGGGTGAAATCATTAGGGCTGAATTTTTATGGATGAGAAGTTCCCAGTGTTTTTCATGTGGTTTTTTTTCTGTTTTTAGTCCAAACCAGTAGCATTTGCTGTCAAGACCAACGTGAGTTACTGTGGGGCTCTGGATGAAGATGTTCCTGTCCCAAGCACTGCCATCTCCTTCGATGCCAAGGACTTCCTCCACATTAAAGAGGTAAAACCCAGCAAAAGGGGATGGGAAAGGGAATCTTTCTACAGGCCAAGGGCTTTGATTTGATCAGCTGAACCATACCCAAGAGGGCACAGTGAGGAGGAGCTGGTTCTTCATCCCTCGTGGAGTTCCTGCACCCTGGGGTGCTTGTCCTGCCCTTCTGGAGCACTTGGTGTTGCCAACATGTTGGAATTTCATCACACAGGAAGGAAATAATACCCTTTAAAGTGGTGGGTTCAGATTCTTTTCATCAGAACCAGTTTGTGATGGATCAGGATGGTGCAGGAGAAAGGGATTCCGTGGAGCACTAAGGATTCCATGGAGCAGCACCAGGTCATGCCAGGTCTTCCAAAAAACACCAGATAGGCTCCCTTCCAGAGAGGAAGTAACACTTAGGATAATGCAGTAAGCAAAGAAAATCCTGAAGAGGACAGATGCAAAAATAAGGGGAAAAATGGGATAAATGAGCCCTGAGTATGGCTTTGGTAGAGAAAATTGCATTTTATTGCATGCTGAGCATATTTTATGCAATTTTTTTATCTGAAGTGAGCCCTCCACATTTGCATAACCCCCTGTTGTGCTGTGGATTGGTACAGAGGCTTGCAGCTTGCAAAAGCACTTTTTCATCTCTGCATTTTGGGTTTATTTTGGGGTGTTCAGTGCTCATCTGTGTCTTTCTTTGAACACGTGTTCATCATCACTCCAGAGCACTGATCTCCCTTAGACAGAGCACATTCAGGAGGAAAACACCTGCTGCTGCCCCTCCTCTGGTGCTGGAACAGGGAATTGCTTCACACCCCCTCTCCCTGAGAGGGAAAGGCAGAAAATTCCCTTTCTCCAGTTTTTAATCTTGGATTTCCTGGACATGGCCACCTTTATTGTCAGGACACTGACTGAGTTGCACACTCCAAGCTCCTGTCATGCTGCCTTGTACATTTTTCCAGACAAGTGTCCCAAATCCATGTCTTGGCATTCCATCAGTTGTCTCCCAAGGTCTAAAAACCAGGGATCACACTGCCACTGAGCTGGAAACCATCTGGGTACTGGTGTTTGTCAGCTCAGCCTCCCTGGAGCTGGAACTCAGCAGGATTTGGGGAATGGCTCCCCACGCTGCAAAAAAGGCTTGGCAGGATTTGTTTTTCAGTGATTCCAGGTTTTGGAATGTTGCTGAGCTGGGTACAAAGTCAGGTCACCCTCTGGCAGGATGGAGCAGAGGCAGTGAGTGAGGAGCTGCTATTTTGAGGCTGTGCCCTGTATGTCTCATCTGTCTCCTCCAAACTATACATTGTGTGCCTGCTTAAAGGATGAAATGGCAACAATTCCTGACAGAGCAGAAGGAATCATGGGCATGGCAACCAGGGGAGGGAGGATGAAATGGCAACAATTCCTGACAGAGCAGAAGGAATCATGGGCATGGCAACCAGGGGAGGGAACGTGCTCCTCCCACACACAGAGTGACAGAGGGGAGGGGATGACCTAATGCAGATAAATCCTGTGTTCCTCACTGCAGCCTTGGCATTTGTGTGTTCAGGGGCTCTCAGCAGAACCCACGCTGGTTTGGGATGGAAGGGACCTTAAATGGGCAGGGACATTTCCACTGTCCCAGGCTGCTCCAAGCTCTGTCCAGCCTGGCCTTGGGCACTGCCAGGGATCCAGGGCAGCCACAGCTGCTCTGGGCACCCTGTGCCAGGGCCTGCCCGCCCTCCCAGGCAGGAATTCCTCCCCAGAATCCCACCCATCCCTGCCCTCTGGCAGTGGGAGCCATTCCCTAGGTCCTGTCCCTCCATGCTTTGTCCCAGGTCCCTCTCCAGAGGGGCTGATTCTGATCCCATGCCTGGAGGCATCACTCAGAGGTCCATGAAGAAAGGTTCCCACGGTCAGGCTGCACCTTTAGAGCCAAAGTGGATCAGGCAGTGCCCTTGGCACTCAGGTTTTGCTGGGATTGGTTTTGTAAAGTCAGACTGGTTTGGGTTGGAAGGGACCTTAAAGCCCATCCGGTGCCACCCTGCCCTGGGCAGGGACACCTCCCACTGTCCCAGGCTGCTCCAAGCCCTGTCCAGCCTGGCCTTGGGCACTGCCAGGGATCCAGGAGACTCCACAACCTCTCAGTTCACTCATTTCCAGCAGCAGGATGCTGAATCCTGAAGGATTTGTCTGGTTCACAGACTGGAAGTAATTGTGTAACTTAACATACTTCAAATAAAGCTTTGCTCACTGCCACTGTGTGAATCAAAGTCAGAGCAGCAGGAGGAATAAATACTTAGTTGGAATGATCACATCATGGAGCCTCTTGCCTAAATATATGTTAAAGAGGGTAAAGAGGTTTCTCAGCATATGAGGATTGTATTCCCTTAGTTTTTATTACATGCTAATATTTATGATTGGGCTAATGTTCAGATATCTGGGTTGATAAAAACCCATTTATTTTTCAGGGCTGAGGCTCTGTGTTTCAGAGTCATCACCAGGCACTGCTGCACCTTTGACAGCAGGGCCTCGGTGTTTCTGTGTCCCTGCAGGAGCTGAAGTGCTTGCAAATGTGGAGCCAGGAGCAGGGACGATCTCGAAGATGAGATCTCTGTGATGGCTTTTTCCTCGAGGCAGGCAAACAAAACCCATTCACTCGTGCTGCTCTTAATGACTCCAGAGCCAGTAGTGAAAAGCAATGTTTCTTTTGAACACCCAGCTGCCTAATGAAGCAGAACAGAGGAGAGGCTTTTCAGATACTTTTCTTCAAAAGCTCTGCTGCCAGCAGCTACAACAGATCCTTTTCCACTCCAATATCTACCAGGATTCTGCTTTTCATTTTGCCATCATTAGGGACAGACCAGACTTTAAATAAAGCAGAAGAATATGTGTTACTAAAGGTCAATGAAAAAATGCTATGCTTTAGGTGTATATTGAGGTTTCTTCCTAAAGGTGAATTTTTCTTCATCTGTCATAACCTGTTAATAACATTCCTACAAATACCTGGAGAGGAGGAAGGGAAAGTGGTGATCTTTTGTCTAGACCATTAAATATGACAAGCAATATTTGATGGGAAGCTGGAGGTGTTATTTTTATGTTTGCTGCTGGGAGGTTGTGTGGTGGCCTCAGCTCAAAGAAATGGGTTCTGCTCATTAAATCAACCTTGAAATTAAATCAGCAAGGGACAGGATGAGGGGAAACGGCCTCGGTGCTCTGCTCTCACACATGAGCCTGGTTCATTATCCAGAGTGGACTTAAGGAGTGTGGGTAACTTGGGAAGGATGAAATTTTGACAAGAAAGTCTCACAGATATGTGTGCTTGGCAGAAAGCTCTCTGATGCAGAACCTGAGAACGAAATAGAGATGGAAGCAAGTTGTTATCTAGAAGAATTACAGATGTGTAAATTGAGGATTGCTGAGCCAGTCTTGCTGGACAGCTAAGAAGGCAAAGGTTATGTCAAGCTGGAAAGAGGCTTTATGACTTTGAGCAAAGGATAAGCTGACCACAAACAAAAAGATGTTTTTACCACAGGCAAACAAGACATGTTGGGTGTGGCAAGTAGAAAGAAGGTTTAAGAATTTTCCGCTGCAAGAAAACTAAACAACTTTAATCTTAAACTGTAACATACTAACTCGTGTGATTGGATAGTATTGGCCATAATATGTTAATGATAGTAGTCATGATAGGCTGTAGGTAAAAGTAAAGGTATAGATTGGTTCTTAAGATGCTCAGCAAAGAAAAGTGTATAATGCACTGTAACCAAAATCAAAGGGTCCCCAGGCCTGCCTGCAGCTGGAGCTGACAGCTGTAGGCGTGGCTCTGTCCCCCACGACCCTGCACTGCTGTAACACCTCGGAGGGAATTCGGGAGCTGGAGTGGGCAGGAGCCTCGCTGTGTTGCAGAAGTACAACAACGACTGGTGGATAGGGAGGCTGGTGAAGGAGGGCTGCGAGATCGGCTTCATCCCGAGCCCGCTGCGCCTGGAGAACATCCGCATCCAGCAGGAGCAGAAGAGGGGCCGCTTCCACGGAGGGTGAGCACGCCTGGCCTCTGCAAACCCCCTCCCATCCTTCCTCAGCCCGGGCACTTTGGAGACCCCCTATCTCCAGAGGTCACAGCTGCTGCTTTATTGCAGGGCGTTTGCAGCGCTGGGTTTGGGATCCCCGGTGGGGGTACGGATTTGCGGAGATGTCGGTGATGAGAAACAAAAACGGGTTTGACTTCAGGGAAGAGCAGTGAGGGATAATGATAGGAGTTCCTGAGAGTTTTGTGTGCCTTAAGTCAACTTGGGCTCAAAGTCTGCCAGATTTTTCCCAGCTTTGCTTAGGTTGTGGGTTTTTTGTTCCTTTTTTTTTTTTTCCTTTTCTCTCCATTTTGGCCCAAACCAGACTTTGTAAGATCAGCTTTGCCATCCTTTATTCTTCATCTTCCAGCCTGAGGTTTTTGAATCTCCACCCTGCCAGACCTGGAGATTGCAAATCCCTGGAAAAAGGTCTGGGAGATAAACCTGGGAAATGCTTTCAGAATGGTTGAACAGCATCCAAATTTCTTCTACAATTTTTGACACAGCTTCAGGGGCAGCCAGTGGATCTCAATATACAGAGAAATTACTGGGTTCAGTGACATGCTCCTGGATTTGTATGATAAAATTCCATATCATAATGATAAAACATTTAATATTTAGCTTTTGTAGTTAGAGTCATTTATGCTTGTATGACCTTGTGATTCCTCATGGGACAATTCCTCCCCAAAACCTCCCACGTTTCGGGGTGCCTGGTGTTAATGGGGGTCTTTCTGCTGCTGCAGGAAATCCAGTGGCAATTCTTCTTCAAGCCTTGGAGAGATGGTTTCTGGCACATTTCGAGCCACACCTACAGCCACAGGTAAGACAGGATTTATTCAAGGAAACCCTTGCTAATAATTCTGTTTAGAAACCCTACATGAGAAATGCAGGTTGTCCCCTTTGCTGAGTTACTGAGATGTTTTCCAGTGAAGTTTTTGCATGCACAGGGGAGGAGGACAGCTATTCCCAGCCTGCAGGAGTTGCTGAGGGCTGGGAAAAATCCTTGGGAACATTGGCAGCTCCCCAGTTTAATGCACAGATTGCCCAGTTAAATGTATATAATGCCCAGTTTAATGCACAGAATGCCCAGCTTAATATACAGAATACCCAGTTTAATGCACAGATTTCCCAGTTTAATATATAGAATGACCAGGTAAATGCACACATTGCCCAGTTTAATGCAGACTGTCCAGTTTAATGCACAGATTTCCCAGTTTAATATATAGGATGCCCAGTTTAATGCACAGATTTCCCAGTTAATATATATCATGCCCAGTTTAATGCACAGATTTCCCAGTTTAATATATAGGATGCCCAGTTTAATGCACAGATTGCCCACTTTGGTCAGGCCTGAGCAGAGGGAGGTGCTCAGACAGAAATCTATGTGCTTTGGCAAAGGGATTTCTGGTTGCCTGGGTGTGTTTTAACCAAGTTCTCATTTGGTCTTCTAGCAAAACAGAAACAAAAAGTGGTAAGTACTGCTTTTGTTTCCACTTGATTTCCTCCTAGTTCATAATTGCCAGGATTTCCCTATGGGTTTGTTTGACTGATGATCTGAAGGGTTGTTTTTTCCCTCTAGACAGAACATATTCCCCCCTATGATGTAGTGCCATCAATGAGACCTGTGGTGTTGGTGGGCCCATCACTCAAAGGCTATGAGGTATGGACTGAGGTGTTTGCAATTAATTCAACTTTCATTAACTCTGATCATCCTCAGTAATTCCGTGTGTGGCTGGTTTAAACTGGTTTGTGATAATTTCAAGTGATTTAGCGTAAATAATCACCAAAATGTTCTGTAAGAGGTAAGAGTTACTTCTGACTTGTACTGTTTTAAGCACAGTGCAAATCCATTCTTTTCAGTGCACTCATTCCTGATTAAATCAAGTGAAAAAGAGAATTTGTGTCTGCTACAAGAAGTCAAATTAATGAGCTGGACTCTACGCAGGAAAAATGTTCATCAAACCAGCCCATGCTTTGAACTTAATTAGCAAAACATTGGAAGGAGCTTCCTTGTTGTTCTCCTTTTTTCACTTTACTAATAAATTCAACTATTTTGCAAAGAAACCTTTAACCCTCCTAAAAGATTGCCCAGGTGGGAGTGGGCAGGATAACATGCCCAGATAACCAGGACAGCTTTTTTAGGCTGCTGCAGGTTCAAGTGAGCATTTACCATGTGCTAAAACAAGCAGAGCCTTTTAGCAGGGCAATTCAGGGAGCTCAGCCATCTGGGAAGTGCTGAACCAGGAACTAAATGAACATAAAATCAAAGGTACACTTCATTAAGCTTAATTAATGTTGTCAGTAATGTATAGGATATTATTAAACATATTGGAATAGTTCTTTTTGGGAGGTGACAGGCCTGGCATAATGCAGTGTTCTGGCATTGTTTTTAGTGAGAGTGACTGAAGGTGCAGCTCAGCAGAGCAGGTACTTCATGTTCTGCTCTCTGCCTTTTAATTTGATGGGAAGTTTTTTGACAGGAGTGAATTCCCTCTGTGCTGCACCACAGATCAATTTACCTCTGGAGTTTGGAGGGGAGGGAGGCTGTTTGTCCATAGAAACCTCTTCAAATCTGCCACCCTGTCTGTTTTTTTGAATAGAACTACACCAAACACAACACCTCGAACATACAAATGTGTGGAAATGGTAACACAGAATATTAAGTTCAATAACAAAAATTCTTGATCATATTTGGGGTCATTTATTTTGACTGTTTTTCCTGGCTAAATGCTGAAGGATTCAGATGGAAAGAGGGAAATAAACTGGCAGAGAGGCCTGGGGGCTTTGATGAAGCTGCTGCCTGGCCTGGCAGGTAATAATTGTCAGCCTGAGCTGTCCTGCAAAGCACAAGGAGCTGCTCAGAAATCAGAGGGCAGCTCTTGGGCTGGGCAGCTCAGCTGTGCTCCCAGGCCCAGCAGTGGGAGCAGCCCATTTTTCTGCTGTCACCCCTCTGTGAGAGCAGTGCCCAGCAGGACAGCTCTCCTCCCTGGGGTTTGCAGCCCACTGTAGCAGTGCCCAGAGCCCTGCCCAGCACACATCCCCGTGGCTGTGCCCTGCTGTGAGTCTGGGAGCAGTGCTGGATGTGCAGGGCTCAGGAGCACACCCAGGGACAGCTCTGCACCCGGGGCAGTGACTCAGGAAACTCCCAGGGATTTATTGCTGTGGCAGGACGTGGCACTGGGATGGTTCTGCCCAGCAAGGGTGTGGATTGTTGGCTGTATCCCTGCCTTCTACTCACCTCTTTCCTTCCTTTTGGCTTCTTTCTCTCCCTGTCCATCCCCCTGCTCAATCTTCTCCCCTCTGCCAAGGTGACAGACATGATGCAGAAAGCTCTCTTTGACTTCCTGAAGCACAGGTTTGATGGGAGGTGAGAAACTCTGTCCTTCTCATGCTGCTTTGCCCATGTGTTACTAACATTTCAGTCAATTATTTTCTTTTTTTCATGCCAGAGGGTTTGCTGCATGATCAAAGCTGATTTTCTGGCTTTGTGTCACCACTGAAGAGTGGGACACAGCTCAAGGGTTACTAGGGGTGCACATGTCTGCATTTCTGCCATGGCTGGGCTAGGATTTAACACAAGATCACAAGAATTCTGTCTCAGTGTCTTCCCAACACCTCAGAAAAATCAACTCTAAAATATTCCTTATATAAGATTTTATTTTGACTGCCTTAAGTAGGCAAAAATACTGGAAAGGGTGGTTGGAAGAAGGAAATGCTGAGAAATAAAGAACAGAAAAACAATTCAAAGGGTTCATCTTCAGCTGGAGCATTTCCTGGTGAGCTGTAGAGGATAATTTGGATTTCCTTGCTAGGAGCACTGGCTTGGTCCATGGCATCACCTCAGTCCTTGCAGGTGTCTGCTGCATCTTTGGGATGTTCTGCCCTTCCCAGTGAGTTCAGAATATTCCAGCTGGGAAAAGAGGCTGTTCTGGTAGCACATAACACAGCCAGGTTTGAAATGCCCAAACCACCAGGGAGGGGGAAATGATGTTCTGTAGAAGAGCTGGAGCAGGATTTATGGATTTTAGGAGTGAGGAGGTGGCAGTGCTGAACTGATCCCTGAACAGCTCAGAGAGAACATTTAATGATCAACTTCTGTGCAAAGTCTCTCCTCTCCTGCCCTGTCCCGAGCTGCTCAGCTCAAGTGATTTTCTGGAAGTCCTAATTCCATCAGCAGTATTGGCAGCTGGATCAGGTGGGAGTGTGAAATTTCAGCTCAGTGCCACCAGCAGCCTGAGACCATTGATTTTAGCTCTGAGGAACTCAGGAAAAAGCTGCTTCTTGGTCCTTCTGCCAACTTTCATGGCTTTGTGGTCTTTCTCCTCCCTCCCTTTTCTTTCTTCTTTCTTTCTTTCCATCTCTTCTGCAGTTCTGGGAGAGGTCCACGTTACCAAGGAAGGAGCTGAGTGCCAAGGAAGAGCCTTTCCAGAGGCATCAGAGAGACCTGACTCCTTCCCTGCCTCTGAATTCCCTTGGCTTTGCCAGCTCCTTCCTTTGTACCTGCAACCTCCCCTGCTGGCCAGTGAGCCCAAGACCCACAGTCCATTCATTTCTGTTTTAAACTCATTTTTACTTTTGGCCTCCACTGTCTGCATTTATTTATGTATTATGCAGAAAAATGACTGCACTTCTTTTTAACCCTGCAGCTGAAAATTCCACTTAGAGCTGCATAAATCTTAGGTTCTGTGCAGAAGCTGCTGGTCATTCCCAGGTTGCTTTCTTTCCATTTTCCCTGGCTCATCCCAGGCCTCTAGGCCTCTGACTGGATTTTTTACATGAAGGCATCGTGTGGTCCTTGCTTTGTAACATTTTGTGTCTTTCTAACTCACTGACAGATGAAGTAAATAAATCACTTGCCTTAAGTTGAAGAGGTGCAGTGAAGTTAAACTTGAGTTCAGGCAGCCCAGAGAGCTCCACTTCCTTCCCTCCTGCTCATCCCAGGCCCTGGCACAGCTCCCTGTCAGCTGGGCTGGGTTTACTCCTGGTGTAACTCTGAGGAAGTGCTGCTACATTGCAGCTCCCTTGTTCTGGGTGCCCCAAGCCTCACATAACTCACACTGTGTAAATTCATGCAGGAGATGAGTGAGCTGGGAGGAGGAAAGTTAATTAATGCACTAAGGAGAATAGCAGGAACTGCATCCCAGGGCTCAGGGAATAGGAAATACATCCCAGTCACCCAGCACTTCTGTTCATTTAATGATGCCATAACTCATCTGGAAACGTGCCTGAGCGTGCTGGGTTGTGTTTGCCCTTTGGAATGGGCCGTGGCTGTGGAAAATGGGCTGTGGAAATCCCACTCCTGTGTTTGTGTGTGCAGGATATCCATAACCAGAGTGACAGCTGACATCTCCCTGGCCAAGAGGTCTGTGCTCAACAACCCCAGCAAGAGGGCCATCATTGAGCGCTCCAACACCAGGTCCAGCCTAGGTAAGGCCCTGGCACAGCTGGAATCAGGCTGTGCTTACACACAGGGGGGCAGGACACGAGTCCAGCCTTCCACTCTGAGCTGGAAGGACCCACAGGATCGTGGATCCAGCTCCTGGCCCTGCACAGACACCCCAAAATCCCACCCTGAGCATCCCTGGAGCGCTGTCCAAACCCTCCTGGAGCTCTGGGGCCGTGCCCATTCCCTGGGGAGCCTGGGCAGTGCCAGCACCCTCTGGGGGAGAGCCTTGCCCTGATCTCCAGCCTGACCCTGCAGTGGTGCAGATTTAAATGTGTCTGCAGCATTTTACTGCATAATCCTGAGCTGGCCTCTCAGCTCCTCCTCCTTCCCAGCCCTGTGCTTTTAATTCCACATCACAAGGAGCCAAAGAGCTTGCACTTGTCCAGCCAAGGAAATGTCATTCCTGACCCTGGGACCAGTTTTGTGATTAATTTTGAGCAGTTACAGCTGAATTTTGCTGTCTGGCTGTGAGACTTTGGGTCCTGCCCTCTGCTCAGTGTCAGGACTGCTGGGGAACGGTGACCTGAGCAATTTTTATGTGGACTCCATGATCTTGGATTTCCAGCCTTGATGGTTCTGTGATTGTGTGATTCTTTCTTGCACAAGGGTGGAAATTTGTGTGTATCACATGCATTCCAACATGCTGCTCTCTGGGACACCTTCCCAGGATGTCAGAGGAGTTGGATTTGGTAAAAAAAAAACCCCAAATTCCAAATCTCTGCCATCCTGAGTGACTGCTTGCACTAGAGGGACAGGTAACAGGTTATTTTATGGCAATGCTATCAATTCACATGTGGAGTCTGTGACAGTAAGTGGGTGAGGACGTTTTTATCACAGAGGTTTCAACTGCTTTGTTCTCCTTTGCAGCTGAAGTGCAGAGTGAGATTGAAAGAATCTTTGAGCTGGCCAGGTCCTTACAGCTGGTTGTCCTGGATGCAGACACTATAAATCACCCTGCACAGCTTATCAAGACATCTCTAGCACCAATTATTGTCCATGTGAAGGTGTCCTCTCCAAAGGTAATTCCTCACCTTAAGATCCAGGAGGGAGCTGGAGGACAGGGTGGGAATGGCCAGTGTGGAATCTGCACCTGAAAAGGAGAAAAAGTGACATAATGTACTGCTGGTGTGCTACAGTCCATCCAGCAATCCAGATAATTCTGTATAAATACAATTTTCACGCTTCTCTGTTGTCACAAATAACTTAGGACTTAAAGGAGGATAAAGCAGAAATGCATTTGAAATTTTTCAAGGGCTCAAACGTGATCCAGAGGGAAATGTTCCAAGTTCTCAGAAGGGTTATCAGAAAGGTTTGGGATAGTCAAGGGCAGTATTTTATGGAGAGCTTCTGCCCTTGGTAATCCCTCAGGGGGATGTCAGGCTGGGCTTTAGGGAGATGAATGATCCTTAAACTCACCTTTTGCCCTTTCCTCCTGGCAGGTCCTGCAGCGACTGATCAAGTCCAGAGGGAAGTCACAGAGCAAACACTTGAACGTCCAGTTGGTGGCAGCTGACAAACTTGCACAATGCCCACCAGTAAGTACAGAGGAGAGGCTGAAGAACTCCTGCTTTGTGGAATTCTGATGATTCCTGCTCTGCTGATCCCTGTGCAGAGCTGGGTCCATCCATTATCAATCCCTGGTGGTGCTCACACGGCCCTGCACTCGTGAGACACAAAGTGCTGCAGACTTTCATCCTGGTTATCTCCTGCCCAGGGTTTGTTTTGCTCTTTGGCAGGGTGACAGGGCAGGAATGACGTGGAGGGGACAACAAATCTGTTCATTAGCAAATTACATCATCTGTGGAGCTGCAGCTCCCAGAGGGACAAAGTCTGGTTTGGAGACTGCACAGGGAGTGTGTGGAAAGGGAAAGGGAAAGGGGAGTGTGCAGGCATGTGAGCCCTGCTCCTGATCCTGCAGGCCATCCAGTCACCTCACCAGAGCACAGCCATGGCTCTCCCAGCTCCTGATCAAAGATCTGCCCCTCTCCTGGAGTCCAGAATTCCTGCTGATGGAGCAGAGGCCTGCAGGGCTCATGGGAGAGGCTCTGCAGGGGTTTGGACAGGGCAGCTCAAACTTGCTTTTAGTTTTGAAAGCCACGCCTGGTTTCTGGGACAGAGGCAGTGGAAATGGACTTGGATGTGGCTTTGTGTGGGATCTCTGTGGGATATTGGGATGGGAGTGCAGAGTGCAGAGGTTCCAGGGCAGTGACAGCCTCTCTGGGCAGCCTGTTGTTCTGCAGAGCTCAGCTGTGTTACATTTCCCACGTGGAGTCTTTTGCTGAGTTGTGATCTCTTAAAATGCTGCTGGGTTATTCCTGTGAGCCATCCAGGTGCCACTAACCCAACCAGAACTGTAACTGTCCTGGAGAGCAAACTGATCCCTGTAAAACACATCCCTTCCCAACTCCTGATCCCTGCAAAGCACATCCCTTCCCAGCTGCTGTTGCTGTGAGCTGAGGAGCTGGAGTGCAGCTGCCCCTGTTTGTGGTGTTTGCCCTGAGCTCACACACAGAGCAGTGCTGTGCACTCTGTGCTGTGTGAAAGGTGTTTCCTCTGGCACCCACACACACAGCCCTGGGAGTTCCACAGCCTTTTTTTGCCCTTTATGCAGTGGTTTCCTCTTACTCAGCTCCACTTTGCTCGCATCAGCTGAAATGAGAGAAGTCACCAGAGGAGCTGAGGCTGCCCCATCCTCTGGAAGTGCCCCAGGCCAGGCTGGAAAGGGTTTGAAGCACCCTGGGATAGAGGAAGATATCCCTGTCCATGGCAGGGGGGGGATGAGATGTGTTTTAAGTCCCTTCCAACTCATGGGATTCCCAGATTTCATGAAATAATCTATGTGGGGTGCATTGTGGCACTGGGATTGTCCATCCCCAGATTTACTGAACTGTTCCTCAACACTCAGGCCAGAAATTGAATTCCAGTGCTGAAGGCAACCAGGTGAGGCCTCACCTGGATCTGAAAAGCCTCTCCAAATGTCAGAGGCCCAGGTTTCAGCCTTGAACCCAGCCCTGCCCAGGAGCTGCTCACAGAGCAGCTCAGCACTCTGCACTGGTGATGGGGAGGCAGTGAGTGCTGACTCTGAGCTCTCCCAGCGAGCTGACAGTCTGGCTTGGCTTGAAATTAAAGTTGGCCCACGGTTTAATTCAGTAAAAGTTCATTGCTAAGAGCAAAGACACTGCTCCCTCTCTCCTGCTCATCCCTTTTGCAGCTCAGATTCCTGCAAGAGAATTTGGAGTGTTGGTTTAAAGGGAAGGTCCTTGCACAGGATGCAGTCCTCACTCTGTTCCTCTGCTGAGAGCCAGCCATAAGGAATGAGCTGGTGCTGCATGTCTAGACATTGTAAAAATAGCTGTAAAAATAGCTGGGCATATTTGAGCTCAGGAACTGCTTTCATTATTAATTCCTTGCTAATCTGCCCCTGATGCTGCTCCAGCCAGCGTTGGGCACTGCAGGGCTCCAGGAACATTGCAGGGCTCCAGGAATACTGCAGGACACAGGAACAATGCAGGGCTCCAGGAACAATGCAGGGCTCCAGGAACATTGCAGGGCTCCAGGAATATTGCAGTGTTTAATTTCATTCTTCTCCAAAGCAAAATATACATAAGCAAACCACATTTTTTTAAAATTTCTAATTTAACTGTGTTTTAATTGATAACTTCTTCCACAAGGGAGTGATAGACTGAAATGTGTGGTGCATCAACATGTGGGTGAATAGCAAAAGAGTAAAAGCAGTAAATAAAGAGAGGAGCAAAAGAAGAGCAAGAAACACTGAACTGGACCAAGGGATGCAGTGTTAGGAATGTTCTGATTAGAAGGAAACTCCTCCTTGCTGGCAGAGGAGGAAATTTTTCTCTGCCATGCTGGGAAGAGAGAATAAATGAAAAAAAGGAAGAAAAATTGCTTTATTATTTTAAATCTTATTCTGAGAGCTGTAAAAACAAGTGGAAGAGAGCTGCCTGTGGTTGGTGCTGGTTGCCCTTTACACCCACAGCACCTGCACTTATTTTCCATTTCCTGAGCTGTTCTCACAGTATTTTGCAAAGTTAAGATTAGAGATGAGATAGGAAGTTGAACTGCTGAAAATAGGGTTGTGTTTCTCTCGAGGGGCTCTGCTGGTTCTGGCACGTTGGAGGACAGGCAGGGATGGAGGTGGTTTCAGCCAGCACACGGAGGAGGTGTCTGGAGAATTCCCTGAGGCAGGAATGCTGCTGCTGTCAGGACTGCTGCTGCCTTCTCTGCTGTGGGAATGGTTTTAGGGGCATCAGCACTGGAAATAAATAAACAAATTGAAGAGTTTTGTGCCCAGAAACAAAACAGGGCTCATGCAACACTCAGGGGCAGTGTCCAGTGACTCCTGAAGGCTCTTGGTCACCTCCTGGACACTCTTGTACCATTTTCTGTTCTAGACACAGAATCGTGGAATGCTTTGGGGTGGAAGGGACCTCGGACCTCATGCGGTGCCACTCCTTGCCGTGGGCAGGGACACTTTGCACTGTCCCGGGCTGCTCCAAGCCCTGCCTAACCTGGCCTTGGGCACTGCCCGGGTGTAGGAATGCGCCCCCTAATGACAGAGTGGCAAAGCTAACCTTTGTCCCCCAAAAAAGGAAAGAAGCCCAGAAGCTTCTCTCAACTGTTAGGTGGAAAGCCACCTCATAGGGCCTCAGGGACTTCACCAAACACCAGAGAACACCTAACTGGATAGAAGCCAAAAAGTCCCGCCTGATCAATCAAGTAGAAAAGAACAGAACAAAGGAGAAGAGGGGCTTTTGTGTGAAGTGTTTCTACCAGGGGCAGACCTCTGTACCTGGCTCGAGTTTTTCTGTTTGTTATTTTGCCTTTATTAAACCTTTTTTGTTTCTAACACCACAGCAGAAGCCATCCTGCTTATTTTATGCCCCCAAAGTGTAGCTGAGCTATCCTTGGGTGTATTAAGTGTTTTTCTAGGGCTTATGAGAACTGGCTCTAGGACAAACAACTTAATACCCGGGATCCAGGGGCAGCCCCGGCTGCTCTGGGAGCTCCATTCCAGAGGCAGGAATTCCTCCCGTGTCCCATGTCTCCCGGTGTGCATCCATGCCCCCTGTCCCTCTCCGTGCCCGCAGCTCCCTCCCCTCCGCCCCGATTCCCGCCGAGGCTCGGTGTGCGGGGCGTTTGCCTCCGCGGCGTCCCCGGCCGTGACTGCGCTGTGTCCCCTGTGCCCAGGACATGTTCGACGTGATCCTGGACGAGAACCAGCTGGAGGACGCCTGCGAGCACCTGGCCGAGTACCTGGAGGCCTACTGGAGAGCCACGCACGCGTCCGGCGCGGCGCCCGTCACCCCGCTGCTGGGCAGGAGCCTGGCCCCCGCCGCCCTGGCCCCGTACCCCGCTGCCATCTCCGGCCTGCAGGTAGGAACGGGCCCCCGGGCTGCCAGCCCTGCCGCCCACCGGGGTGCAGCCAGGGAGGAGGCGGCTCCTGAGCGCAGGGCTGGGCGCTGGGAATGCTCTGCCTTTAGTGGGGAGTGTGATAACTGTGCGTTTCCTAGCCAGGAGGCAGCTCTGTTGTGATGCCTTTGTTCTGCCCTCGTAACTTTGTGGGTCAAAAATCTTGTTCTTTGAGTGTGAATAAAAGATAAATTTTTATTTTTTTTTTTTTTTACCCGTTGAAAAAAATTGTGACCCTTTTTTTCCACAGGGATAGCTCAGACTCGGCTGAACTTTGACACTTCAATCGTGGCATGTAAATAGTCCTTAATGAGAAGTACGTGCTTTATTAAGTTTGAAACCAGAAAATGTTTGGGGCTAATAACTGGGAATGCTTGAGGGGCTCAGGATTGCAGGGAGCTTTAAATCCTGCAAGTTTCAGTGTGTGGGGGACTCCAGGAGTGTCACTTCCTAATGTACGTCAGAAATAGAACTGAACAAATGACATTTAATGAATAACTCACCTGACAAATGTAACAAATGTCTGCTCTGCTTGTGGAGTGTCTGGAAGCAGGTAACAGCTTTGGAGGAAATGACTGTTGTTTGGTGTTTTCAGTTAACATCCAGCTGGCTTTGCTGTGAGTGAGCTGCACTTCCCTGAAGGTGCTTAATTCCTGCACTCACCTTTCTAAAGCCCTGCTTGGTTTTATTGGGACCAGCAAGTCACTGTCTCCCGAGTGGCTGAATGCACAAGCACTGTTCTGTTACTAATAATAACATGCACATGTAAACTGTTGTTTCCATTTTCCACTTGCCTTAAAATTTCAGTTTTCCATCCCTTCATGCCAATAAAATACCATCTGCAGAACTTTCACCTCTTCAGTTTCATTTTGAGAACTGGGTGTATCCACAGAATTTTTTTCAGGCATTTATTTCTCTCTGATCAATGGACACCAGCAATAACTGTGAAATGTTGCTCCATTTACTTAGGGAAAACTCACACTGAAGATGAAAATCACCCCTGTGCAGTGGGCTGGCTGAAGGTATGCATCACTTAATCCCCACTTCACCCGAATTCCAAAGGGTTTCGGTGGGATCAATGGTGCTGGTGCTCTGCAGAGGGGTAAATTTCTCCCATGGAGTGATCCATGCCCAACCAGAGCTGCAGGTTTTCCGTGCCACCAGGGTTCAGGCCCTGGTGTTTTCCATGGGTATCTCACAGTAAGGACTTCCACCATCCCTGATGCCCACGAGGAGGTTTTATGCTCATTCAAACCTTTGAAGGATTTGCGTCAGCTTTCACTGTGATCACATGTGTGGTAATTAAAAGCCACTCAGGCTAATTAAACTAGCAAAGGTGCTTGTGGTGCAGGAAGATTTGATATTCTTCTGCCCTTGGTACCTCGGGGACTGAAAAGCAAAAGCCCAAAGGCTACATTGCAGTGAGCCTGATAGAGGTGTGCTGGGACAGGCTGTCCCTGCTGCACCAAATCCAGATTTGGGAGACTCCCATTTCTGCCTGGCTGTGGCCTGGACTTTGGTTTACTGAGAACTGAAAGTCCTGCCTGAGCTCCTGACTCACGGAGGTCATGAGGGTCACGTTCTGTGGCACAGATCCAGAGCAGTCAGACAGGGCACAGGTGGCAGTGCTGGCTCTGCCACACCTGATCCTTGGAATGGCCTTCCTTAAAGGAAGAGCTCGAGGCTGAGCTCAGGGGGAAGAGTAAATCTGATCTTTGCTTAGAAAAATGCTTATTGCTCTGAGAAGCTGTGGCCGCCCCTGGATCCCTGAAAGTGTCCCAGGCCAGGCTGGACAGGGCTTGGAGCAGAAGGTTGTCCCTGCCCATGGCAGGGGAAGGAATTAGGTGATCCTCAATTTCCCATCCAACCCAAACCATCCTGGGATTGTCTAACTCCTTGGCACCAGTCGTTTGCCTCTCTGACTGGTTAGCTCTAAACACATCCAGCCTAATTTCAGTGCATGGATTCAAATCCTATAGCTCAGGTTTTGGGAGAAGTGTTCCTTAGGCTCCAGGGCACTGGGGTTTCAGGTCCATTCCTGCAGTCATCCCAATCACACAGCAGGATCAAAAGTTACCTGGGCCATCAGATCCATGTGTACCCAGCCCAGGCATGTCCCATGCTGGCACCCTGGGAGCCCAGCAGCAGCCCTGGGATGAGCACACAGCCAGGGAAGCAGGAGGGTTCCAGGAAAGCAGCAGGATGCAGCCCCAGAGGTGAATTCCCACAGGGGAGGCAGAGGGGTGAGCACAGAGTTAAAGCTGCAGTTGATGAGGGGGTTATACATCCAAACTGCATTTGTGTCAGATAAACACAAGGATAATTCATCATGGAATCAAGGAACCACAGAATGGTTTGGGTTGGATGGGATCTTAAAGCCCATCCATGGGCAGGGACAACTCCCACTGTCCCAGGCTGCTCCAAGCCCCATCCAGCCTGGCCTTGGGCACTGCCAGGGATCCAGGGGCAGCCACAGCTGCTCTGGGCACCCTGTGCCAGGGCCTGCCCACCCTCCCAGGCAGGAATTCCCAGTTCCCAATCTCCCATCCATCCCGGCCCTCTGGCAGTGGGAGCCATTCCCTGTGTCCTGTCCCTCCATCCCTTGTCCCCAGTCCCTCTGCAGCTCTCCTGGAGCCCCTTCAGGCCCTGCCAGGGGCTCTGAGCTCTGCCTGGAGCCTTCCCTTCTCCAGAGGAACCTTCCCAGCTCTCCCAGCCTGCCTTTAATTTCTGAAGCCCTTTTCCATAATCCCCACTAACTCCTGGTGCTCCGAGGAGAACGGGGATCCCCTGCAGGAGTTCTCCCCAGTACCTGGGGCTGAGGTTGCACAGGGACCCCTCGCTCAGGGCCCCTCTCCAGGAGTCTCCCTGGCAGCACCAACCCCGAGCTGTAAGCACACACCCCCTGCTCCATCCCTGCCCCAGGCACAGCAGCCTTGGACATCAATTATTCAGGAAAACAGTCGCCAGGCAGAGGCTGTAGCAGCAGGAGGAAGGTTTTATATCCCAGAGAGCAGGGGCTGGAGTTTCAGCACGGAGTTTGTCCTGAGAGATGGGTGCTGATGCTCCTGAGAGGTTTAATGTGTGGTGGAAGCAAACAAAACACTTGTTTTGGGTTATTTCTTCACCGTGCCGTTAACCGGCAAAAAAAACGAACTAATTTTGTTCATGTGACAAATGATGGGCATTGTCATTGTGGGAACGTGAGGAGAGCAAAGGCTTCTAATTAATAAATTATCTTAGGAAGGGATTTTCTGTCAACAAATTTAAATACTGTGCTTCAGTTGAAAGAATTTATTATCCAGTGATTTTAGGCTGCCCTTGGCTGCCTGCTGAGCAGCCCATCATTGGTTTGGTCATAGGAAGGGTTTGAAATGAGGCCCAGAGCTGCACCTTTAAAAACAACCCAAACAAACATCTTCAGATGTTTTCCAAAACCACAGAAACGGACACTTAGACATTCCCTAAGCAGAGTAGCAGCGTGAATGTTCTGTTCCTGATCAGAGAAAAGTGATAAATGCTGACTACATCAGCTCACTTTTCATGCTCGGTGTAATACTCAGCAGGGCGAGCTTCCCGCTCCAGGAACCGGAGCTGGCCCGCTCCCGGCCCTGCAGCAGCCGTGGAAAAATGAGAGCCAGGAGCTGCTGGAAGGGCTGGGCTGGGCAGAGCTGGGGCATCCCTGGGGTGGGCACTAACTCTGCCTTCTTTGGCCCCCGCAGAGCCAGCGCGGGAGGCACGGCGGCCACTCCGCGGAGAACTCTCCCCTCGAGCGGCGCAGCCTCATGACCTCCGACGAGAACTACCACAACGAGAGGGCTCGCAAGAGCAGGAACCGCCTGTCTTCCAGTTCCCAGCACAGCCGAGAGCACTATCCCCTCGTGGAGGAGGAATTCCCTGACCCCTACCAGGACTCGTACAAACCCCACCGCGCCCGCGGCTCCCCCGGCGGGTACAGCCACGACTCGCGGCACCGGCTCTGAGCCCCGCGGAGTCGCGGCATCCGGCCCGCGGTACCTTGCCGTGACGTAGCTAGGAGTAACAATTAGATCATGTTAATTTGGCGGGTGTGACGACGGCGACACCGCGTTTGCACTCTGCTGTCATTGATGTTTAATTAGGGGGCAGCAAAACCCAGCCCGGCCCTTCCGTTTCTGCCCGATCATAGAGGTTGTTTTTGGGATTCTTTTTGGGTTTAATACAGCGTTTGCATTTATAGCCATATTTTTTTCTTGTCCTTTAGGTATTAGACACATCCGTTTGTAATTTTGGGTACTTATCGAGGCACTTATAAAATAATTTCCTGTGCTGGAAATTCCAAATGACCAGTTCCAGTTGGAACCAATTTATAAACCAATTCCTGTTGGAATTTGGGTGAATTGACTGGAAAGTCGACGTGAGCATGTTGGGAAAAAAAAAAACCACGAAGAAAAATCAGAAAATTACAAACCACTGCAAGTCAGAAAGTCAGCTCCAGTATTTGTTTGCTGGGAGCTCAATTTCCATTTCAGGTTAGAGTAAAAGGATTTATTCTAACGATTTCTTTCCAGAATGGCTTTTTCAGACAAACCAAATGTAAACTCTCGAGAGTGCCAAACATCCCAAATTATTGCAGCAGTTACAAAACACTTTCCAGTTCCAAATTATTTTTAGACCTGGCATGAATGTTGCAGCCAAATGATTCTTGAGTTCAGCCAGTCCTGACAGTTTTGTTGGGACCAGCAGGGAGGAGCTGCGACAGGAGACGGGAAGTAGGGACAGGAAAAGGAACAAACTCCATCGTTTGTGTGCTTGGAGGTTGGGAACAGTCTTTATTTTTTCCCACTCTTTTACCTGAATACAGCCAGAAGTCCCAAAATGGAACAGGAGTATAGAGACATCAGATTTTTCTCCCATTTTTATCCTGCTTTTTAAATGGAAAACAATCCCTTCCTCTGACCCCGTGTGTAAAGTCTCCCCACATCCCAGTACCCCGAGTAGCTGCCCACATGTTCCATCCTCCCAAACCCACCTCTGAATGTCTGACATTCCAGCGGCGCACAAGAACTCTGCAGAAGATCCATTCCAGCCATGGAATCCAAGGGGAGGGAGTGGGCTTAACCAGTCATCAGTGACAGACATTTCAAACAACATCTCGGTCAGAATTGCAATAAAAAGGGAACACCAGACAAAAATCTGCTCCCAGGGAAGTCGTGGAGCTGATTCCAAGCTTTGGATTCCAAGAGCTATGATAAATCCTTGGAGATATTGCTGCCTTACTTCCTACCAATCATTTCTTTCACCTGCTGAGTCTTGAGTTCCTTCCAAGAGATGAATTCCTGTGGCTGGACCTTGTGTTTTACACCATCAGTGAAGCCTTAGATCCCATGGGATTGAAAATTGACCCCCATTGCCCATTTTGTACGACCACTGACATCTTCCAGCAGAGCCTCCCGAAATTCCCACCGCACACATTCCCTGGAATTCACACAGTTTTGCTGAACATGCATTTGTTTATGCAGGTTCATGTCACAGCTATTTTTTTTCTTCCCAAAATAAGGATCATTAACTTTTTTATTTGCTTGTTTTCCTCCCAAAGCCTGCTGAACCCAGGCTTTGAAAGCATGTAGCACTACAGGAATTTCTGGAATATTCTGGTTTCTTCTACATCCTGGACCAGCTGGCAAAGCCCACTGGTGTTTCCAGCATCCTGGAGTCTCATTATCCTCTTGAAGTTACTGGGAAAAGCAATCCATGTCCTTTGTGGGACACCCAAACCCACACCCATCCCCAGCAGCATTAAAAGGTGGCAGACACCTGATTAATTAATCATTTCTTTTAATGACCCCACTGCCTAACAGGCAGCTGCAGCACCGCTGGGCGATCCCAGTGGAGCAGTTACCAAGGGAAAGGTGGAAATCTGTGCATCCACTGGAGTCCCAGAGTTCTGGATGGATCTGCCAGAGCTGATCCTGCCCGAGTCCCTCTGGCTGCAGGTGCCAGAGGAGCTCTGTGGCAGGAGCTGGCACTGGCAGCTCCTGCAGGATTCTGTGCTGGGAGCATCCTCCAGGGAGTTCTCCAGCCCTTTTTCCTTGTCCAGCACACAGAAAGGACAAAGGAGGCCTTGGGCAGCCCCTTCTTCTCTGAGCTTTCCTCCTTCCTGATTGCAGGGGAGCTGTAGAGCCCTGGGCAGCAGCTGCTTCTCTTTATTCTGCACTAGATTAGGGATCAGCTCGTTAACTGCTTGAGGAGATTTGCATATTTGCGTATTTGACAGAGATTTCCTAGAGCCTTTTGGAGCCTTGTTTTCAGTCTTCCATGTCACCCCAGGCCAGGGAAGGATCCCCAGCCACCGCACTCTGCACAATCCATCACCTGAACATCTCAAGTGCCAAAACAACTTTGGTTTGACAAAAACAACCTTGGGAGGGAAGCCAGGGATGTCCTGAGGTCCTTTATTCTGTGTGGTTAAGCTGCCTCCACTCCTGGGTGTCCTGAGTTTCTCCCAGAGCCCATTCCATTGTGATCAAAGGAGCCAGGGGCCCTGCAGGCCTCCCTCCTTGCTGGGGTGTTGAATTCTGTGAAAAGAGATTTTCTTGAAGTACAAATACAGCAGCCAGGCTGGGAGACTCTTCATTTACTGCAGAGCCTGTGGACAGGGTTTGTTTGAAGAAGGGATTTCTGTTCAGGACACAGTAAGGAGTGAAAGCTGTGCTGGGGGTCAGGATTGGTAATTCCTGGTGGGATTCCAGCCCTACTGAGCAGCTCTCTGGTGGTTTAGTTGAAACTGAGGAGTGCATGTGTTCCTGACTGAAGCAATCCAGCCTCATTCTCTAGTCCTCACATCATTTCTTCTTGTTAAAATAATACTGAAGACCAGAGCTCTGTTCTGAGCTCTGGCAGGGACAGAGGGTTTAGAAATGTTTATGAAACTGGGATTTTTTTTTTAAGTTGTTACCCGTACCCAAGTTTCTCATTCAGATACTTTGGGATTAACAAGGATTTAGCCAATCAAGGTGATAACAACCATCTCTGAAGAGAAAATTCAGCACATATTTATGTTTGGGAATCAATTATTTTAATTGTTAACCTTTGCATTTCAAATACTTTCTCCCTGGAGCTGTATTTAACATGTACAGATTCTTTTCCTGATGCCAAACATTTCCCCCATGGGATGTGCAAGTCACAGCTGCTGATGTTTGTAACTTCAGTTTGATGCCAAATCTTCTGAATTCAGTTTGGTCTCAACACCACAGAATTCCCTGGAGCATCCAGACTCTCCTGTCTTTACTGACTACACCATTCCAAAACAATATTATTCCTGTTGTTCACAGCACACTGATTTGGGTAAGTCAGGGGTTCTGACACTCCTTTTTTCTTTAATAATCCATTAAATGTGTTCTCTGCTGTGTTTTCTTTCACAGGTTCAGTACTTCTGAAACTTGTCCTTGATCCCACATTCCTGATTTATTTTTTTTTAAGGCAAAATAATTGGAGACTACACATGACAAAATCAGAAGCATATTTTATAAAATGCAATTTATACAAACCTGGGTTTGCTCCTAAAAATGTGCATTTTAAAATCAGGTTCTGTTACCCCTGTTGGTGCCAGTCCAGGTTGGGATCCATGGGATTCTGCTGCCATGTATTTTGTTGGAGTTGCCTCTCATTCCCTCAAATATTAGTCCTACAAAGGCTGCAGGGTCCTGTAATGCAGCCAGGCTTAACTCTGGGGAAATGGACTTTAAACGATCCTAAAAGAGAGTGTGGTGTTGTTTTAAGAGGCATTTGAATAACCTTGGTGAGGTTGTTACCAAGCCCAGCTTATTTTATATAGAAAAATAAAGGCTTATCTTTAAAAAAAAAGGGAAATTTTAATAAGCTTGTAAGGGATTAACTCAGAGAAAGAGGTGACAATGCCATTTAGGAGTGAAAGTTCAGATTTCTTTCAGTGTGTGTGGAATCCACTCAAGAAGTCAGGAGAAATATTGTGATTAGAATTTGGGGAGGAGGTGGAATCATTTCTGATGCTAACGAGTGTCACTCCTTTATTCCTCTGGAACCAGCAGCCTTGGCTTGGTCTCAGGATGGTTTATGGACCTGCCTCGGGGATTTGGGAAACCAAATTCCTTGGCAGTGACACCAACTCCTGTCTGGTCCAAGAGCAAGGTCTGCCCAGCAATGGCACCTCCTGATCCTCCCCTGCCTTACCAATATTGCCTGAAAACCAAGCTGGATTAGCTGGGACATCCCCGTGTTGAATCTGCTCTGCAGCAGAGGATCCACAGAGCTCAGAGTTCTCTCTTCTGCCAGCGGTGTGAAAACAGAGCAAGGGAAAAGAAGCACATTTGTAATAGCACAAATTTACAGTAATTCCACTCCTGCATCTGGCACCGTGGGTTTGGAACCAAGGGGGAGATTTCTGATCCAGCATCAGTGGATTTATTGCATTTTTGATCTGTTTACTCGCTGCCTGATACTTCAGCAGTTGATTTTGGCATTTTGCACATGGGATTGATTTTTCAATAACTTCTATCCCTTCCATGTGAATTAATTAATGACAACAAAAAGAACCTTTTCAACTCGCAAAGCCCACTGCATTCATTTCTGCTGATTTCCTCCTGGAAGCTGAAATCACATGAATAACTTTAATTTTGGCCAATGTGTAGATCTGGGATGTGACTGGTGAAGCCAGCAGCAGCCCAAGGTCGGGAATGAAACACTCCCAGGAAGTGTTTGTGGGGATGCAGAGCTTGGAGAGGGGAGGGAAGAGTCACAGCACCCCAAATTCCCAAGAATCCCCTGCAAACCTGAAGGGAGGTGAGGTTAAGGAACTGTGTGTGGGCCCAGGTGAGTTTGGGATTGGGACACACCTGACTGATTCCCTCCTGGGCCAGACAGGGAGAATCAGGCCAGCAAAATGCAGATTGTGTGCGAGCAGAGCGGGGAGAACGTTGGGATCTGCCATTCCAACTGCACACTCCAGACCTCGGGCTTCTCACATCCTGGAAAATCTCTGTTTCTCAGCCAAACTGGTTCCCAGGGAGAGCCTGGCAGCGCTGCCTCGCTGGGAGCCAGTTCAGAGCCACACTGGTGAAGACATTACTGCCTTTACCGGGACAGAGCCACCCCAAATTTGTGTTTTCTGCTGATTTTCCCTTTGTTTTGCCCTCTAGACCCCGTGTGTGTAGCACCTGACCAGGCATGTGGGTACCATATACTATGCAATGTGTACAGTGGTGCATGCTCTGCTCTCCCTCTGCTTTTAGTGGCTTTCAAAGAAAACTATAAAAATTGGAAAAAATTAAAAAAAAAAGGAAAAAAAAAAAAAAGTGGTGTTATTTTTGTGACCAGGATCATGCAGACTGCATGCCCATAGTATCCTCATTTCTATGGATTCGTTTTCTGGAATTTAGATGTACAAAGATGAACTGCATTACAATAACTTTTCTACAATAAATGAACAAAACTATCAAGCGTTTAAAAGTCTGTCCAGTCTCTTTGTGTCCTGCACTAAGATTGGGAAAATGCTCGGGAGAAACCCGGAGTCCTGTGGCATTTTTGCTGTTTGCCAATAGTTCTTGGCAGCAGCCTCACGTGTTGCGTTTTTAGGAAAATTTAATGAGGTTCTGAAGACGGAGATGCATCTGCTCTGCGAAATAAATGATGTTTATTTTTGTAATGAGCTTAAATAGCTGCGACCCAGAAGTACAAAAATACAGATAATTCCTGCTGATCCAGCAGGGAATGAGGTACTGGCAGCCAACTGCTCCTTTGAAGGATTCTCGGGAATGTTCAGGGCTTTGGAGCTGGTCCTTGGTGGGATCTCCTGGATTGTTCCAAGGCAGGAACAAGGGGCAGAATGATGGCAGAGATGAAGGATTGGATAAATAAAAGATAATTAATAGTTCATCACCAATGGTGACGGCTGGAAAAGACCTCCAAGGCCATCGAGTCCAACTGTGACTGATCCCTGCCTGAGTGCCACCTCCAGCCGTTTGTGGTATCTTGGAAAACCGAAAGCATTGGAAGATGCTGCCTCTGGCAGAGTTCCAGCCTCCTCTTCCCAAAAAGGAGCAACAGGAACCAGAACCTCCCGGAGTCCTGCTGATCCAGCAGGGAATGAGGTACTGGCAGCCAACTGCTCCTTTGAAGGATTCTCAGGAATGTTCAGGGCTTTGGAGCTGGTCCTTGGTGGGATCTCCTGGATTGTTCCAAGGCAGGAACAAGGGGCAGAATGATGGCAGAGATGAAGGATTGGATAAATAAAAGATAATTAATAGTTCATCACCAATGGTGACGGCTGGAAAAGACCTCCAAGGCCATCGAGTCCAACTGTGACTGATCCCTGCCTGAGTGCCACCTCCAGCCGTTTGTGGTATCTTGGAAAACCGAAAGCATTGGAAGATGCTGCCTCTGGCAGAGTTCCAGCCTCCTCTTCCCAAAAAGGAGCAACAGGAACCAGAACCTCCCGGAGATGCTGTGAGCACCCAAACCTTGCCTTGGAGGGATGGGAGCACGTTGGCCAGGTGAGCTGCTGGAGCATTTGCACCCCTCAGGCAGATCTAAAGCTCTTAAAATTCTGTTCAGTGGGATTGTCTTGGCTGTGGCTTCAAAATCAGATCTCAGCACGTGAGCTTTCACCTAAGCTGCTGGTGAGAAGCAGGAGGGTCTTCAAATAAATATAACTGAGCAAAAAAAATGCTTTTTGTGTGTTATCGTATCATCCTAGGGGTTGAAATTTCTTAAACTGCTTAAGTTGTCTGTGTCCTGGGGAAGGGGCTGGAGCCCCAGGAGGAGCTGGGAAGGGGCTGGAGAATCCCTGAGGGAGCCGGGAAGGGGCTGGAGAATCCCTGAGGGAGCCGGGAAGGGGCTGGAGAATCCCTGAGGGAGCCGGGAAGGGGCTGGAGAATCCCTGAGGGAGCCGGGAAGGGGCTGGAGAATCCCTGAGGGAGCCGGGAAGGGGCTGGAGAATCCCTGAGGGAGCCGGGAAGGGGCTGGAGAATCCCTGAGGGAGCCGGGAAGGGGCTGGAGAATCCCTGAGGGAGCCGGGAAGGGGCTGGAGAATCCCTGAGGGAGCCGGGAAGGGGCTGGAGAATCCCTGAGGGAGCCGGGAAGGGGCTGGAGAATCCCTGAGGGAGCCGGGAAGGGGCTGGAGAATCCCTGAGGGAGCCGGGAAGGGGCTGGAGAATCCCTGAGGGAGCTGGGAAGGGGCTCAGCCTGGAGCACAGGAGGATCCCCAGGGATCTTTTCCCTCTCTGGAATTCCCTGCCAGGAGGGCACAGCCGGGGGGGTCGGGCTCTGCTCCAGGGAACAGGGACAGGAGCAGAGGGAACGGCCTCAGGCTGGCCCAGGGCAGCTCAGGGGGGATTTTGGGGAAATTCCTTCAGGAGAAGGTGCTCAGGTGGAGTTCCCATCCCTGCAGGGGTTTCAAAGCCCTGTGACATTTGGGGACAGGGGCAGTGCTGGCAGTGCTGAGGGAATGGCTGGACTTGATGATCTCCAAGAACTTTTCCATCCTAATGATTCCAGGACTATCCCTAAATCAATTCCCAAATTCCTGGAGCCCTCACCCCCTCTCAGATCCCACCTGCTCCAGATCCCCCCTCCCCAGGGGAGGGAATGGAGCTGGGAAGGGGCTGGAGAATCCCTGAGGGAGCTGGGAAGGGGCTGGAGAATCCCTGAGGGAGCTGGGAAGGGGCTGGAGAATCCCTGAGGGAGCTGGGAAGGGGCTCAGCCTGGAGCACAGGAGGATCCCCAGGGATCTTTTCCCTCTCTGGAATTCCCTGCCAGGAGGGCACAGCCGGGGGGTCGGGCTCTGCTCCAGGGAACAGGGACAGGAGCAGAGGGAACGGCCTCAGGCTGGCCCAGGGCAGCTCAGGGGGGATTTTGGGGAAATTCCTTCAGGAAAAGGTGCTCAGGTGGAGTTCCCATCCCTGCAGGGGTTTCAAAGTGGATGTGGCATTTGGGGACATGGGGCAGTGCTGGGAATGGTTGGACTCAAATATCTGGGAGGCCTTTTCCAACCTCAGCCATCCCATATTCTCTCCGTTTGGGTTTTTTTCCTGCACAGAAGCATTCCCATGGTGAAATCCTTCTGTCGGCATTCGAAGCACTTCCCCAGCACACACTCCCTGACCCTGTCTGTGCTACAGCTGGAACAAACCGTACGCGACCCAAAAAACCCCTCCCAGATTTCCAGGAGGGAATTGCGAGGCTGTACCAGCCCTGCCCACTGGAATGCTTTCCTAGAAAGCTTCCAGCGGCACTGGGGAGCTCAGCTTAGCCCATAAAAACCAGCAGTACGATCCAGGTTCAAGCAGGCTGCGCTAGGAAAAAACCCAAACAAACGACAAGGGGGGGAATCCTCAGAGTTTTTAATTTAAATAATCACAACAAATTTGTTAATTGAACTTTGGTAGCTCTCCCACAGCTGTGCAGCCACCGGACCCTGCCCCGAGCCCAGGAGAGCTGAGAACAGAGAAGAACCCCGAATGCTTCTGAAATTCCAAGCTGAGGACCGGCAGAAAGGGGGATAATTGCCAGCTAATGAATAATTAACGCCATTGCAGGCTGGATGCTGAACTCGTGGAACGTTTTACACCGGAGGAGCTCACCCGCGGTGCCAGGACCCAGGGATGGACTGGCACAGTGGGCTGTCAGGATATTTCTCTTCTTAAACTGTTCGGGGCCACGAATTCCCCTCCAGAGCAACAGGAAACGCGCAAGTCTCTGGACACGGGAAATCGGAGATGACTGCCCTTGCTGCTTTGGTTCCGGACCAGCAGGGAAAATCAAACGCGAGAAGCTGCTGTGGGAATAAAAGCTGCTTGAAGAAAAGATACAAACCTCTGGAATAAGAGAGGAGATTTGATGTCCCATCCCTGGCAGTGTCCCAGGCCAGGCTGGGCATTGGGAGCAGCCTGGCACAGTGCAAGGTGTCCCTGCCAGGGCAGGGGAAGGAGTCAGGTGCCAGCTGTTGGTTTTCTTAGTTTTTACAGAAATGGGGTAACTGAGAGGTCTTAAAAGATTTTATTCTATTATTAGTTTCCACGAATAGTGAGACACAAGAGATGTAAAACTTATTCATTACCCAAATCACAAATTATTAGAGTCAGGGCCAGGACAAGTGAGAAGGCAAATACCCCATGTCTTGTCTCAGGCAGCAACGCAGCTGTGCGCAGCCTAATTATTATTGCCTGGGATTTCCAATTCCCTGAGGATTTAAACTCAGTGCAGGGTTTGGACAGAGAAATTCCTCTCGGAGAAGAGAAGGCTCTTGGCAGATCTTAGAGCCCATTCCAGTGCCAAAAGGGCCCTTATGCAAACTCTTCCCCAGCTATTGGGAGCAACTTCCCCCACGTTATTCCTGAGTTTCCCTCAGAGCACCAAGTTTTAGCAGGGCAAAGTGAACGTGGTTTCTTCATAAACTCCAGCCAGGCCGGGAGAGCTGGGAATGCTCCCCTGGAGAAGGGAAGGCTCCAGGCAGAGCTCAGAGCCCCTTGCAGGGCCTGAAGGGGCTCCAGGAGAGCTGGAGAGGGACTGGGGACAAGGCATGGAGGGACAGGACTGGGGACAAGGGCCGGAGGAACCGTTTAAACCTGAAGGGAGGGGGTGATTTCCATGCGGTACCGGGAGCAATCCCTCGCTGTGAGGGCGCCGAGCCACCGGCGCGGTTGCCGGGCTCAGCCGTGAGGCGGGAGATGCCCGTGGCAGGGGAGGGCCGGCACGGGCCCCGCAGAGGCACCGGGGGCGGCGGCCGTGAGGGAGCCGGGCGCGCTGAGGCGGTGCCGTGTAATGGCGGCCGCGGTGCCGCCCCCGAGCAGCAGGGGGGATCGCTGCGCCTCTGGGCTGTCCCCTGGAGCCCAGCACCGGCCTTTCCACCGTGTCCCTGACACCCACCCTGGCTGGGCCCGGGGATGCCCTGACGGCCCCCCTTGCGGGCAGCGCTCAAACATTGCCTTTTTCGGGCTTTTTTTCTCTTTCCTCCCTGTGTGCGGGTTGTTTGCTTTTGTTTTGGTTTTTTTATTTTTTTTTTTTCCGCTTCTCCTTGTCACTCCTTGCAGGGCCGGAGCGGCGGCAGCGCCTCCCGGCATCCCGCGTCAGCGCAGCGCGCCCGGCCCGGCCCGGCCCGGCCCGTCCGTGAGGCGGCCGCGGGCGCTGCTCCGCTCCCGCCGCCGCCCCGCTGCCCCTCCCGAGCCTCGTCCCGAGCTCCGTCCCGACCCCGCGGCGATGTCCGAGCGGCAGCGGCCCCGGCGCGGCCCCAGCCGGCACCCGGGGCGCTGCGCCGGGCCCTGAGCGGCCGCGGCCCCGCAGAGCCGCGGCCGGCGAGGCCCGGAGCGCCCGGCCGAGGATGGGGATCCTCTTCACCAGGATATGGAGGCTCTTCAACCACCAGGGTGAGGCCCGGGGGGATCCGGGAGGGACCCACGCCCGCTCCGGGGCGGCCGCACGGGCTCCTGGAAGTCGGGGCTTTAACCATTTTATTTTTTTTTCCACCTTATTTCAATTACTGGAGTGCTCATTTCCTGACAGCCGCCTGTTAAATCATTAACGTGTGGCAGAGGAGCGCGGCCGTGGCGCGGCGGGTGGGTTCGCCTTGCTGTCGGCAGAGTGTGGGTTTAAGTGGCAATCCTCGATAAGTGGCCCGTTCACGGAGTAAATGTCATTTATAGCTGCAGCTGGGGCTGCCCCTGGATCCCTGAAGTGTCCCAGGCCAG